AAATACTACTAACTATATTTAATCTAATCAAACTTGGTTATGATGGATGAGTCTAAGTACAATAGTAACTATTTTTATCTAGAAATAGTTCTTCATAGTCAGAAATTAAATCTTATGGTGCTTAGGGTGAAGATTTCTTACTGCTCTGGAACAATTGCCTGAGGCTTGCTACACATTCCTAGACATCTTAGATAAAGAAAATAGTAAAGCCTTATAGATCAACTATTATCAAGCTATGTGAAAAAGCCACAGTGGCTAAGCAACTTAGACGCTTAAATTGTGCTGAAAGCTGTGCACATTCAAGGTCCCTTACATTTGCCCAATCCCATTGGACACTGCATGACACCTTGGTGATTTCATCACAAGACTTTATACACTAGACAATAATACACTGCATCATCACCCTTGTTCATCATCATCATTTATTTTAATCACAAGCTTCTTTGCCCTGATCCCAGCAGAATTTTCTTAATTGTAGGCCTTCACCACACCTCATGGTGTTACCACACTGTTATCTACTCTTTTAAAAAGAAACAACTATATTTTACTTAGGGTAACAACTTAGGTTCACAGTTAAGGATCCTTTCTACCAGCTGGTCCTTGGCCAAACCTCTTGGCATTGATCTTTCCCGGATTACCCGTACTTATTTACAGCTGGGTCAACTGGATTTATGAGTGATGATGACTTATGCAAGGTAATCAGACTTTCACATTCTGATCAAGATCGGAACCCACGTCTACCATACACTTGACATAACCAAGCAAAAGATGTCATGTAAAGAACCAATGCTCTAACCAAATGTGCTATAGAAACCTCACAATAAATTTTCTACTTATACACTACATGGTGTTGCCATACGGTTATATATTGTGTTGGAAACGTTCCTCAACACCCTTGTTCATCAACATCATTTATTTTAATCACAAGAATCATGGCTTGGTACAGAACCAGACTAGTCTGTTGTTTTCAAATTAATATACCCAGGAGTGGATCTTTTCAAGTCTCAAAACATTGATGTTTATCTGGTTACTCAATTTTGAAACCCACAAAGAATTTTGTTGTGGAAAGCTAGACAAATATATTATAGTTGATGCTGCGTTAATTAAAATTGTTATGACAGATGCTATAATATTTAGGAAATTATTGTTTTGTAGGGGCATTGTTTTGGAAACAGTATGTCCTTAAGAGTGTCTGTTCAGGGGAGTTATCTGTTATGGGAATTATTTGTGTTGATCTGGTATTTTGTTTCTGAAATTGTTGGCTGCAACTACAAACCTGAAGTTGATAGCAGTTGTTTTGAATGCTAAAGTTAATGTATTTGAATGAAAGCTCATCATTGTTGAACGGAACGCAGATGAGCACAGTGAAATCAAAACATTTTTATTGATAATGTACTTGTTTCTGAGAATAATATTTGTAATTAGTTCAGCTTTCATGAAAGTTTTTGTTATATAATGAACACGTATGAGGTGTTTTGTATTCAGCGAAGATATCTAGTTATTGATGTCATACATTAATATTCATTGTTTTGTCTGTGTCAAATAGTAACAGTATGACCAGATAGATGTATATCTTTCTCTCAGGGAAATAATGGACGACAATTCTCAACCTGATCTCCATTTGATTCTGTGTATAGACACAAGATTTATTTGAAAATGTCTTTTAGATTTCACTGTGATAAAATCACCTTTTGATGCTTCATAACAAAAATTATAAAAAACAACTTAGGGATCACTGTTTTGATCCGAAGTCTCTTGCGATTAAACCTTCAAAACCTACTAATACTCTAGTGATACGCTAGTGATCAAACCTTCAACTCCCCAAAATACTCCAGCTGAGCAATTAAACCTACATATCCTACAAATAAATATCCTTCAATGCCAAAACCTTCAAAACTTGATTATTTCTAGTTACCCAAACCTAAAAAAGAATCTAGTATTAGGTGTTAAAGATGATTGTCTAGTATTCTAGTGATAAATTTGTGTGGCAGCTATTTCTTCTTTAAACAATGTTATACCGTAGTGTAATAAATAATGTAAAGGATTAATTCAGTTAAGTCAGGATATGATTTATTTATTGGTTTTCAGGCTGGCAAGATTGAGGTTATCTGATAAAAATCATGAATTGATTGACCTAGCTAACAATCTGACTGTTACTCTGACTACCAATAAACTGATTGAGATCAGACCTTTGGTTCAGTTGTAGGGTCTCTGTAATCTTCAAAGGTTAAAACATCCTGACAAAATACTGTAAGCTATTCTGGTCTTTATGGTGTTATGTTCAGGGAGATTATTGCTCTTCATTTGGTACATATATAATATTAATGATACTTGGCGATTTCAAACTGGTCAATCAGCATATTGCATGTTCTGTAAAAAACATGTTCTGTTTTTATTGATAAGGAATGGTGTTTAAAAGACAATGCAGGGAGACCATTGTAAGATGGATAGCAACAGTGGTTCATGATTTTCCTTTCTTCCATCTTGTCTTTCGCCAAACCTCTTGGCATTGATCTTTACAGGATTATCCGTACCCATTTACAGCGACTGGAATTTCAGAGTCATGATACCATAACATAATATATGTAGACTGCTATATATGTAGACTGCTCATCAGCATTATTAGAACGTTAACTATTTGTTCTCAAGGTCATACTTGATCATTTAGGATAAGACATTTATTTGGTATGTGTTAAAGCAAATTTCATATGATGAAATTAATAAATCTGTAGCTATTCTACTACAAGATCCAATATATCACTTGCAATCTAACTGATACCTTCGTTTCTGTCAGGAAACATGTCAATGTTGATAGTAATTGATACAACCAGTTCTTCCTAGTTACTAAATAACTATCTCACTATCATTTCTTATCAAGACTATACAATAGTTCTTCTACTTCACTGATACAATTCTACCATCATTTTATTACTTCTCAAGTCTTTGAAACCCTTCAGTTCCCGCCTTTATTACAGTTCTTGAGAATCAGGATTGATTAATCCAAGTTTTTCCCATTATTTTACATTTACGTCTATCACTCTCGTTAAGTTTGATGTCTTGTGAATTACGTCAAGAACGTAGTCACTCGAAATAATTCCTGGACTATTAATATCTCGATGTACTGAAGCAGTACGATTTCGCGGATTCATTTGACTACATAACAGTTCTCGAAGATCTATTCAGATTACAAGACAGAATCAATCTTTGGTTTCTGAATGATAGACATGGCGCGCTGCCAAAAATTTATTCTTATTCAGAGAGTAGCATGTTCCTGGCGTATCATGGAATCTTTGATTTTAACGTTCTATTATAAAGTCATATTCTTGAATTTCTAAATACAGGTATTGAAGATCAGATTGCTGATAGATATGAGTTGATTTTGTTTAGATTAGTGTTAAGATGGGAAATCATCCAGAAAAACCCATTTTGACTCAATTTCATATATTCTTTACAAGTCTTATTCATACTTAGAGATTTTCAAATTAAAAATCAGAAAGGTTTTGAAAGAGTTCAAGTCAATGGTTCGCTGGTGTGTTTAATGATTTGATCTGAAAGTTGTATTATAAATTTCCAGTTAAAAGTTATAAGAATTGAAAATTATGCAGAAGTGAACCCTCATCAAAATATCTGAAGTGGTAATATTTTTCTGTGATATTTTAGAAATGCATCCTATGGTTCTCTGGCACTATGACTTTCTTAAAACTGATAAAATAATTTTAACACTATTTAATTTGAGCATGTCTGTGTTTTGTGTAGATTTTATTATTTTAATGAAATAAAATAAAACAAAATTAGTCATATTGATACAAGAAAACATTCTTAGGGGAGAAACAAATTAAATTTAATATTCAAAGACAAAATATAAAACAAAAATGTTATCTTAACCAATCTCCCAATTGAATATATTCATTTGAATAATAAGACTTGAATTCTAAATATACATATTATGTTTATATTGATCTGTGTTTTACACATAGATAAGGTTGTGTATCACTCCATCTGTCAAAATAACTTACAATATGTCTGGTCCTGGTTCTAATCATGTTTCATTTCCAATATCAAACATTTTCATATTTCATTATTTAATGTGTTTTTATGTGTTTTGTCTTTATTGTGTAGCTGTATTGCGCTATAAATAATATCAATTTCATGATCTGGTTTTTGTCATTTTTACAACTGACTTGTTTGTGTACTTAGTGATAAGTTTCTGCTCTTGGTATTAATTTACTGAACTTAGCATTAACAGAATTCTGCAAAGTATGATAAGCCTGCTGGTTAGTTTGATAAATTAAATAACATTGTAAACTATGTAGACTCTCTGAAAAGAAAGAAGAATTGACAAAACTATGAATGATGAGGAAAGTTGACTTATTTGTGGTCACAACATGATTTCCAAGACTGTAAACAATCTGTATTTTACTGATATTGAAAAGAAACACCTTCTGAGAGTAGGAAGTGTTAAGGCATGACACAACCTATCTGATATTCAATTGATGCTTTGACAATTTGAAAGATTGTATGTTATATTTAAGAGAGTTGAGGTGCTAGCAACATTACCATGGGATAAATAAATAATGCTTCTTCACATAGTAAAAACCCCTCAATTCCACATTAATGCTGTAATTTATAGACACAAATATCCAGCATTGTTAGAGAGGTGAGAGAAATCCATTAAGTTGCCAGTTGGTTTTAAGAAAAAAAAATCAGAGGGTTCATGGTATTGATTAAAGATAATTTCTAACATTATCACTCTTTCCTGCAATATGACATTATAGAATTTCACCTTTTCAAGCCAAATTTATCAGTTCCTTGACATCAAAAGAATTTTTCTTTTTACACCCACTATAAACTAGAATTCTCTTCAATCAATAAGAACTTTTCACAACTCATTAAGGGCCTTGATTCAACCTATAAAGTCAGTGTTTTAACCTCTCAAACCATTAGATATTGTTACAACTTCTCAGGCTATTGTTGGAACTCCTCAGACTATTGTTGCAACTCATCTAGCCATTGTTGCAACTCATCTAGCCATTGTTGCAACTCCTCAGACTATTGTTGCAACTCGTCTAGCCATTGTTACAACTCATCTAGCCATTGTTACAACTCATCTAGCCATTGTTACAACTCATCTAGCCATTGTTACAACTCATCTAGCCATTGTTGCAACTCATCTAGCCATTGTTACAACTCATCTAGCTATTGTTACAACTCATCTAGCCATTGTTACAACTCATCTAGCCATTGTTGCAACTCATCTAGCCATTGTTGCAACTCATCTAGCTATTGTTACAACTCATCTAGCCATTATTGCAACTCATCTAGCCATTGTTGCAACTCATCTAGCCATTGTTACAACTCATCTAGCTATTGTTAAATAAGACAATTTTTTGGATAGATACTTCTAGAATATTTATTACTTCAACTTTTCAATGTGGTTCTCACACCATCATCAGAAATATAACAATTATTATATTCCTGCTGATGGTGTGAGAAAAATTGCCTTATTTATCTATAACCTGTGCTTCTAATATGCCTTTGAAAGATGATCTAGCTATTGTTGTATCTTCTCAGGCCATTGTGTAACACATCAGATCACTGTTACAATTTCTCAGCTCTGCAACCCTACATGTTGTGCACATGACAACCAAAGGTTAAAAGCTTCATATGTCATATTGGAATTATTAAGTGATAAGTTAAAATGGTTCCATAGAGGAGTATAGAAATAGTTGAGTTTACTCAATGAATTATTTATAAAGGAAAGTAATACAGACATACTTGTGAATATTTCATATTGTCATCAGTGTGGCGCCATAAAATGATTTCATCTGACATGGTCTCTAAATGTCAAAACAATTTCCATGCAATACCATGAAGATCATTTCAGTTTATCTGAATTCTATCCCAATGTTATTTTGTTACAATCTATAGTTTAGCATAATTTGGTGATTGCTTTAATGCCCCATTGGCAATGTGAATACATATTGTTATTGATGTGTTCATCAACATTTCGTCTTCGGCATTGGAAACAATTTTTAACCAATGTTAATGAAACTTGAAATGGACTTAGGATTCTAATTACTATGAAGTTGAGGATATTGGGCTTAGAGATAGCTTTTAATAATTGCACTAATAATTAGCCTAATAATGAACACAATTGTTTGAAGTTAAAACATTGATAATCTGGCAAAGATGTACACATCTGATCCAAATCAAAACACAATCAGTCCACTGTTTTTCAGGTATTATAAGTTGTAACGGACAATTGTTTTTTATTTCTTCTACCCAACAATGAAGTCGACTGCTCATGTTTCTGTTTTGAATTTGACCTGATATACAGATATATTGTTGCTGGACTATATGCTTGTAACTAATGTCAATGGTCACAATGATATGGTAGTCTTCTGACCAATTTAATGAACAATAATAAAAATTGAAACCATAACATAAGTAAAAATATATGTTCTGGGAATAAAAAGGCACTGTGACCTCATTATTGAATGATATCTTGTCTGAAACAAGTCTCTTGTGGCGTTTGTTCATGATGGTACATCTCATATAACTTCTTAAATCAATGACCGAAAAACACAATTTACTCTTCAATAGGGTATTAGACTGGAATTAATTGACTAGGTTGAAGCACGAATTAATTTCTTAATATAAATATAGATAGGGATATCATCATGGCATCATATAGGTTCTTCATCTTATCTCTTGATTAAATTGGTAAATTGCTGTTATTATGCCTTGAGGATAATAAATACACTGACGATAGGAGGCGCTCTGGTACATATGATGCTAATTGGCTTCCACCTCTGAGAGTTCATATCCAATTTCATTCTGTCAGTGATTCATGAAGGAAAGATGACATGGAAAGGTGTAAAGTCGTTCAGTCTTCAAATTTTTCAGAAAATATGCTGAAACCGTGGATTAACAAGCAGAAACTTGATCCTAAATTACGGTTTTGTTGGCTCGGTTTGATGCCAATATTTGTCGCTGGCGTGAATCTTTAGTAAAATCTCTCATGTTCATACATGTGTACAGGTCAGGAAAAAAAATCTGGAGATTTGCCTTGAAAAATCTGGAGATTGGGTGAAAAGTCGGGAGATTTTTCCAAAGCGCGTAAATTCGTGATTTGAAACTCCAAATTGATTGTTTTTTTTTTTCAAATAGGCTGTAAGCCTTGTAAATTAATTAAATTGATCATAGGCCTAGATGACACAGTTAAAATTAACAATCTATGATTATGGATAATTCTAGAAATAGTGCCTGATATTTCAAATTTAGGGGCCCAAAAAAAATTTGATATTATCATTCTTCAGTATTGATTGAATCAAAAATAATGTCAAGTTGAAAAGATGTTTGAAAACAAGAAAGCAAGCATGATCCCAGCCCTCTAAATTAAATGGTACGGGTAGGCCTACATGTAATACCATATTAAAAATCAGTATGTTCTGAAAGCAATATTTAGTAAATAATATGTACTGGCAATGTTACTTTTTCCAAAGGTGTAGTTCATGACATCTTAAATATCTCCAGTCCGATCATTAAATACTTTTCTTGCAACACTCTCATGAAGTATTGAATTGAATTTTCCGCTTCCATTTTGACGTTCTTCAGAATGGAAAGACTTGTAATAAGTAAGCCCGTTATGCAGGCAATATAATGAATGTTTACAGGCTACAGTAAAATTACAAAACGATTTTATGAAACGAAGTTTGAGTTTACATAAGAATTAGACATCCAGTGGCGTATGATAATCTACCGATAATGAAAAATAATTCTGAAACGACGTCTATGTTATATAGGCCTATTATAGACCTCGCAGATTGACACTGACGGTATAAAATACTGAGAAGACTTCAAGATTTCGTTTTTTAGTAAAAGTAGGGCTACCGTAAAATATATTATAAAAGCGAAAGTAGAATTTACCGGATGTTATAAAAAGTGTGTCATGTGGGCTTAAAATACACAATATCGGGCTAAAATAGATCAAATTACCATCTTAATTGGGGGATTAATTAATCAGGCAATGATAATATTGATGAGATTAACGCGTGTTACGGGCAATTAAGATACAAGTTATGATAGATATTTTGTTGATTTATGGTAGAGAATTTGAACATTGAAAACGGTAGGTCCCGTGAAAATTGGATCAGGAAAAAAAACAAAAATCGGTAGAATCGGGTGTCCCGCCGGTAGAGCGGTAGACAACATCCAAAAGCGGTAGAAACCCGACAACATCGGTAGATTACACATGTATGATGTTACTGCGCTTCCACAGGATATCGCGTTGCTGTGGATATATGATATCAAACAAGTTTAGTATTTATCACTTGATTGTTTTATTGTCTGAAAGAGTCTCATCATCCAATCAGATTTTCATTTTCCTTTCAATTGCATGAACCACACGTGATTAACGACATAGTGGAAAACAACCAACTGGAGATTAACTGTCTCTTCGTTTTCCTGCAGTTTCTTGGTGGTGACAAAAATCGACAACGACAAACTGTTCGTGTGCCTGCAGCATTAGAAGATTCCAATAACATTACCTTTGTCTCAGGTTTCCATATTAGGTTATAATGTACATCAAATAACAAGATGTGTTAATGAATCCAACTTAAGCTTAAATTATCTTCAACTGATTAATTATTCATCACATTTAACACTTGTATAGTTTTAAAATGGAAAATAATGGTAATGATAATGTGTATACGACTAGAAAACTTGCAAACAAACTTGTAAAAGGTTTGAGCAGCTGACACTTAGCAAGTGTTAGATAATTAACAAGTGGTTTCCAGACGATTGCAACTGTGATACAAAATCAGCAGTTTCTGACAGGTTAAAGAGTATTATTGTAGAAAATAAAATTTATTGTCTGACACTATTTGACCTCCATTTGTAAATTAAAATATGAAAAGTCGTGCTCTTAACTCCTCTCCAATAGCACAGATATCACTCTGCAACTGAGTTGTTCAGTAGCTTTTCTTCTCAACAGTCTTCTTTCTAGTCCATATTTTTCTTTGGGCAGAAGTTTTAGACTTAAGAATGAAAAGCTGAAACAAGCCTATTAAAGACCTATTTCTCATTCAAAAATGAAAATATTAGCTTTTGTCTCTTCAATACACAAAATATTTTCGCCACCTGTTACTAGAAAATAAACTTATTTGTTACACTAAAATAGTTTCTATTTTAGAGAGCAGAATTTTTGTGCATATGAAGTGAATTGGCACTAAAAAATTTTATTTCTACAAGATTTCAATGTTTTCATGGCATTTAATTTGAGGAATTCAATCCGAAATAACATCAAAACAACAAAGTTAATGCCTGTTATAAATATTCATGAACTGTAAAATTCTACAACCTAACAAATTACCTTCATACAGTTTGATTGATAGATATGGCATTAGGTCAATGTGGACTTCAGAGGAAAGCTAGAGGATTTTTAAAGCTATCTGTATCACTTTCCAAAACATAGCATACATGTAATTTTCTGCAATGAAATGAATTTGCTTAGGTGAGAGGGACATAACTAATAGTTTCAGATCATTAATAACCTTCCCAAGGGCATGAATTACTACATGTATATCAGAATTTTCACTCAATAAACAAAGTTAATTGGTATTAAATACTTTCACTTCCAACCAAAAAGAAATAAATCGAGTATTCATTTTTATACAGAAACTTGAAAAATGATTGTTGAGTAAATAACAAGGGATGTTAGGTTATTTGAAAAAAACAATTTTCTCTGTTATTGGCTGAAAATTTAAGATTTATTTGCTGAACAAAACTAGAATTAATCTGTAAATGAATAGTATTTAGTTTGTGTAGGTACAATAAATAAAATCAGTTCAGACAAGAACCAGAACACCTTCCCAGTTTTTCTAGTTTTTCTTTCTCTTCTAATTCTAAATAAATTCCATACTAATTTCACTGCCAATTCTTTTTCAAGATCTAATATAAGATACCAATCCAACAAACATATCGGCAGATCTAAATTGAGGTAGTATTCAGGCTAATTTCCAACACCATCTGTATTTGATTAGTGTCGATTATTAAAATGGAATGTATATTAGGTTCTTCCGGTTAAAAGAATTCTCAAGTCAGGTAGTTCTATCTTACAATTTTAATATTTAATGGTTTTGTGGTTTTAGAAAACATGTTCAAGTAAGTCTGAATTTTTAAGGGATTATAAATGAATCAAAATGCCTTCTCGCACTTTACTTAAAGTCTCAGTGGTTTGATTCAATACATTGTTACTTTCAATAATTATAAAAGAGTTCCTGTGCACTGTTCACTTAAAAAGATTTGATTTGCTGAAACTTGGCAGGTTAATGTGGATGTGATCATGTTTGATTTTGTAGTTATATGAAGGGTTTTA